TTTGCTGAGGTGAGTCGCTCCCTGGAAGCCGAAACATCGAGAGTGAATCGAGTGTTCGTCTGTGTATGCCAAGACTAGCAGGCAGGGCGGAGAGAGACATAGTGAAAGAGAAATATTGATACGCAGAATTAGGGGGGAATGACTGACCGGGATGCAAGCTGACAACGATTGGGGTGGCAGCGCAGGTGGGTGACAATAAAGCAGGAGGGGGCGGGGGGGACAGGGTTCGGGTAGTAGAGTGAAAATCAGTAGCGTACTCCCGTTTCGGCACCGGAAGATTGCGGCCCAATAAAGGCGTCTCGGGCAACTGTCATGCCGGCACTACGTACTGCTGGGTTAGAGGCCAGAGTGGATGCAAATTCTTGGCGTGCCTTGATGAAGCTAGCGCCCGTTGAACGATAGACTCGGTGAACCTAGAGGAGGAGGGGAAAATGGTAAGACAGAGGCCTATATAGAAGTCAGTCTCAGCAAAGATACTGGCCCACGTGAGAGCAAGGTTGTGCAGAGAAAACAGTTCACAGCCAAAGATTCCAGTGTTGGTCCCCTTGGATCGAGAGAACTGATAAAAACCCGTAGGGGGCCCGTGACTGTGCGGACACCAGGCTCGGCCATCAGGCCGCAATCTTTAAACCTCGGGAAGGAACGTGGACAGGTGTCCCATGTGAGAACGTGGAACACATCCGCATTTGGCAGAGCTCTCAGTGAGGCAAAAATGCAAGAGAGGGCTACACGTTAGAAGGTCTTCGTTATCAATCTTTGGAGGTAGGTCGGGCAGATGTAACAGTGGAATTATTATAAATGGGGCGAATTGGCGAAACATATAAACGGAAGTGGCGTGCGGGACCCAAGTTGCGCCACATCGAGCGCTTCACCCAATGGCCTCATGGACGATGCAACGGCCGGCGAGTCGGCGTGGTCTGCTCGTTGCTGAGATAATTCGTTGGTTCGGGTGACCGAGGGGTGGTGGTCGATTTTCTGTTTTTGAGATCGTCCGGCGCCTTACCCGACGTTAATTTTCAACTCCTCTGACAAGCACAGGCAACGCGGAGTGTGATGGGCAAAGCTTGATATAATTGGCCCGCTGTTCACATTCCTCGGTTACGTGTAGTGTACGCCAATCAATTAGTCAAACTGACCTGTAAGCCGCAAGCAATGGTTTTTGCGGTCTTGGATACTTTTCTCTCATTGTGATATAAGCCGCACCTAAGGAGGTGTCACGGTAATGTTACCATCGACCTGTCTGTGGCAAAGTTGCAGACAGATAGCCAGGAAGTTTTGTTCGAAGTCCTTCACGAAGCCGTTGGCAAACTCCCTTCATTCTTGCCCTCCGACAATGCGTGGCGTGCACGTTCTACAGTGTACAACCTTCTTTGCGCACCCGTTGTGTGTTCATGGCTTTTCCGCATACACTTGCTTATTACTGACTGCGTACTGGCGATTTGGCCTCCACAACCAGCTGCGCTGTACACGCGCTGGGCAAAAACGGGAGTCAGATTGGATCACGGCATGCCTTAATCGGGTTGTGCAGAATTCGCGCGAGCCCACAAATACGGTCAGCCTCCGAGGTCGTGCGTCAGTCATTGCACTCAATCCGAGAAGCGGTTGGTAGGTGCGTGGTGGGAAGGAATAGGGATGCCCACGCTAGGGAATCCATCCCCACGGCGCATCGGTGCATTTTTTGCTAAAATAAATCCGATGCGCTAAAAGCCATGGTTTTAAAGGCTGTGAACTGAACCTGAACTGAGGGCCAGGTTCATTGGCTCCTTCTCAATGTGGCCTCCATGGCACGCCACACCTGGCTTGAGATCCATGCCGCCTTCAAGGAAGCCTGGTTTATGCTGAGGAAAACAGGTCATGTGTGCTCTTGCTCCTGTACAAAATCCCGTTCTACAGCAAATATCAGCCTCGCAGTATTGTCAAAAAATGCCTAAGTAAACGACCTTTAAATAAATGCCCTCAAAATGATCTTACTAAGATTAAATTCGAAGGTATCATTTCCAGAAACAAAATTAGGCGGGAATACAGTGTCGCAACACTTCGAATTGTCTACTCCCCCACCAGCCTGTCTTACGGGCGGACTACTACTACTACTACCACTAATACTACTACTACTACCACCACCACTACTACTGCTACTACTACCACTACTACCGCTGTTACTACTAATACTACTACCACTGGCGGGAATACAGTGTCGTAACACTGAAGAAAACTTTTTCCCCCGTCTACCACCACTGATACGGCGAATACTACTAATAATCCTACTATTAGTACTACTACTACTACCACCGCCACAACGGCTGCCAATGCTACTCTACCAACGCTTACAGTATGGGTAACTAACTGCAATAATACTAGCATCAGTAACGGAGTGTTGCGACACTGGTATCCAAACCAAAATTAAAAAAGTTCATTCAGGCGGTTTAAACACGCCATCTAGAACAACATATTTATCGAGGCGATGAAGTAACACTTTTGCAACCAATTTTGGGCACTTCGAGATACCACAGTAAGGATCTGGTGAAGGCCCCCAAGCATCTGTGGCATACAAACAGCAGCTACTATACTTACTTAAGTGGGTTTTAGTCCGAGACGATTATTTCGGTTTGGTGTTTCATTGTACAAGGTTGGGTCGTCTGTTGTTGACGGCCTGGTGCATTATCTGCAATGACCTCAGCTCAGAGAGTTGAGAAGTGATCGTTGTAGACGCTTAATGCTTATTCTTTTACCTGTTCTGCTTAATTTCGGTTGATATATGTCAATGCATTAGAACTTTTCTGCCCGAAAGGCAAATTTACCAATTATCTATATTTATTTTGCCATTCCACTATGCAGACATAGGCCCTGTCCGTAAAACCCCTATTACCACCTTTCCCGTAGGACAGGCACCTGTGGCTGGTCGTGTGTGTGTTTGGGGGCCTTCACCCGATCGTTGCCAAAACAACTATTGTTTAACCGGACTTGTTAAGGCTTTTGGAGTTATCACGCTAAATGTGCGGGAAATTTTGATCCTGAGTTTATTTAGAGAACCGATTCTCGACTGACACGTTCAAGGCAGCCTATACATTTCTGTGCGCCACGTTCTGAAGTTGGTATTAAGTACTGCAAGTTAAACCCATAGTTGGTTTACACACCGTTGTAATAATTCTCTGTTCAAAATGCACATTAAGAAGATAATTATAAATGTATACTAATGCTTTACAATACTAAACCAGATGCTCCGTTCGTCTTCTGGAGGGCCAGACTAGTTCGTGAAAAGAGTAAAGAGTGAAATCGAAAAAATTACCTGGACGAGATAGTAGGCACACACGAGCGTTTCGAGGCCAAAGATTACAGCCAAAGTGAGTACAAATCCGCCAAGAGCTGGATGCGATTTGATAATACCCAAGCCGACAAGAAGTCCACTGAAAAGGAAAATTGTTTGTAGGATCAGATCAGCGAGAATTTTACGTGGACTAGGCGTTTAAGGGCAAGCCGCTTGAGGTAGCATCCGCTCAAAACAACTTCAGGCAAAATACAGTAGTTCTTTAGGGAAAAAAGTGTTCAAAAACCGTAAAACAACTGTCTGCCCTTGTTCTGTACTGACTACTAAAGGCAAAGCACACCAAAGATACCTCGACGGCGCCACAAGTCCGACAGACGAGTTTATTTCCAAACGCTCAACCCCTTAAGGTGCAAGAAGTTTTAGACGAGCCAAATGGGCAGATAAAGGTTTAAGGCGGCATGTAATGTCCTTAGGATTGGTTACGAGGACAACTTAATGACGAAGTGCAGAGGCGGAAAGCCTGGCTGTGCCCGTCTAGATTAAGTGGAGCGACATTTGAGAGGTGACTTATACTTCACTCTGGCTACCACCGGGAAAGGGAAGTGGGCACGTAACTATCAGGCGGATCTGATGTGGAGTTGACAGAGTGAATTGTGAAAAGGTCATCGTTTGATGTCAGGAAGGTACCCTCAGTGGGCACTTCGAAGACTGCCAATTGAAGCAGGTCACGGCCTCGCATCAGTGGCTTTTCGGACTGAAAGGTCGGCTATGTTGCGGGACGTAATGTTGACTTCTGGCTTCGTTGTTACTGTCTAGTTTAGCCCTGGCCTCCAGACGTAAAATTAGGGACCACCTGAACGTCGACCGAAGATTCCCCTCGAATATCGTTATGAGCTTTAAGATGGGATCTCAATGACGTGTCATTGTAATTTGGGAACTATCTATAAACCCAGAAATTCTTACGGGACACACGAATAGGTTTCAATGTGACTTGAAAACCTCAGCTTAGAATCAAAGGACTCTGTAGATTAACCCAATCCACCACAGCTTAGAGCCGTTAATGACAAAGATGTCCCGAAAGTTAATCGATCTGAACATATCCACCGTAGATATTCTCGGGCGGGCCGTGCGCCCGTCTCGATGAGGCGAAGGGGGCTCCTCAGAAAGACATACAGTGAGTGACCGATCTCATGAAATGTTGGCTGAAATCCTGAAATGTGTTTTCGATTAGGAAGGTTTACTTAGGTGGGGTTGAAACATTAATGATCATGGGACATAGTCCTAACATATTCCGGACTCGGCAGGATGTCAGCTTTGGAATGCTTTACATTTTAATCTGTACTCGGTAAAACATGGCTACTTAAGTAGCATGAATTCTTTACAATGATTTTCGACGGTCTTGAAAATTCAAATATATTTTATAGAAACCTCGAACAAAAATATGCTTTCTTTCAGTTTTCTGATGTAGAACCACGTCGTCTTAAAATTTTATGCTCGAAGGAGTAAAATAAGGTTTTAAAAAAGTTTTCTAATTCCCGAATAATTTGGAGCCTGATGGGCCGTTGCATTAGCGCTTAGTGATTTTAGTCTACAAGGTGCATGTGTTTCCCGTGAAGCAAATCACATAGTCTTCCATGCCTTAAAAAACTATATAGAATCCATAAAATTTTGAAATGGACGCGGACCATGTTGTACATTTCATGAGGAGCAGTGGTAAACGAACAGGCACGATGCTGTATGAACGGACAATGCACGGTCTTGAAAATCTCATAATTAGAAACTTTTTCAAAACCTAATTATATCCCTTCTTCGAGCATAAAATATAAAGACGCCGTGGTTTTTTATCAAATGACTGAAAGAAAGCATATTTTTGTTCGTGGTTTCTATAAAATATGTTTACATTTGCAAGACCATCGAAAATCAATGGGAAAAATGCATGCTACTTAAGTAGTCATTTCTTACCGAAGACGGTTTCTACGGGAGATTTAAAAGCAGTAAATTTGAAAGCTGACGTCCTACCGAGTCTGAGATATTATAGAATTATGCCGCAAGAACATCAGTTTTGCAACCGGGCTTAAGTACTCCTTCCTAATCGAAAACGTATTTCAGAATTTCAGCCAACATTTCATGAGATCGGTCACTCACTGTATAACCTTTCACGCCTGAATTCCCAAGCTGTTAGCAACAAACCGTTGTTGGTCGAAATGGACGCGAGAGGCAAGACTTTCGCGCTGGGGGTAAGGAGCACAGGGAGCTCTTAAATAACGAAGGTTCCTGGAGGTTACAAAATCGTGGGGAGGGGAGGAGGAAGTAGAGGTACAATCCACTTACCAAGTTCCCCAATTCATGATACCAAGGAATTGAATTAGAAGAACTACGCACTGGGCGAAGAAGACGAAGAAAAAGATGAAGAAGTTGAAGGAGCTGTCGTTTCTAAAACAAAAAATACAATTCGGAAAGTCATCAGCGAGTCGTGTGTAGGTCTGGCATTAGAAAGATCTTGGCAACTAAGCCGATGTATTTGGTTGCGGGTGCTACAATCTCAGACAAGTAGGTCCAGCTGCTAGTCTTATCACTCCCAATCAGTTCCCACGAATGCCGCACACGAGACGCAACCTGGGTGGACGGTCAACAGATGTTGATGCGCCGAATGCAGGATCATGACTTCTTTCGACATGTTTTCTGCAATCTATGTTGACACTGTTGCCAGTAGAACCAGTCCGTCCTGCTTTACTAGTATTAGTCTGTCTCACAACCTGGTCCTGCATGCCTCGAAAAAGGATAGGGGAAGTAATGGCTCATCATAGATGACCACGAAAACCAAGTTCAGTAAAAACTGACACCAGTCTTATGGAAATTAACGGTACATTCTTCATTTCTGCTGACACCAGATGAGAGCGAGGGAATACAGTGCGATGAGTAAAGTGCATAAAGCGCGTCCGACCCAAAAAGCAACATTTCCCGAACCAGCCAAGGAGACACATCCGACGTAGGGTAATTCTGGACTCTGAATACGCTTCCTGTAGGCGTTACTGAGGCGTCGCTCTTGCATCACTCGAAATTGACAGGACTCCCTGGGCATCAAGTCATAGTCTTTAGAACTAGGAAATGGAGATCAGTCTTGCATGAAAGCCTCCGACACAATGAAAAACGAGGTCTAGAGGCGTCGTGGTGAAATTTTCGTTAAGAAAGGTTGATTATGGTGATCACAAAATTTCGCGGTGACATGTAGACCCGCGAGGGACGATAGATCGACCCTCGATGCGTTCGCCAAGAAAAATGGGTTAAAGTAGGATTATATATTCACTCCCATCCTCTTCAATCTCATGTTTCCAACTACTACTTAGCCGGACAAAGGGCCTAAGGTTGACATTAACTACCGAACATAAGGGTGTTCAATGTAAGACTGTGAGGACAGTGATGAAAATGCCCAAGATTAAGACCAGTTGTTTTTTAATTAAGCTTACATTCAACAGAGCTTGGATCTCTTCCTCTCTGAATGTATCGACTTCCGAATTACTGTTAACCCGGGTAAGACGGTAGCCATCTATCAACTAGTGCCCCCCTATGAATGATATGAACGAAACTGGTCTACTTGAAGTAAACGCTTCAGAACAAAGTCAAAGGCTCGACATTTTGTCTGTGAATATTCGGGCTTTGTTTTAAAGGATTTACTCCATGTTCGCACATTACTTTCCTCAAAAAGTAAACACGGCAGCAAGGATGTTAATATTAGTTTTATCGGAGGGCAGACGAACGAAGCTATAAACGGAGTCTGCGTAAGGCATCGACAATATTCACATTTCTGGCATATGTTTGTTTCATCACCCCAACGAGGTGTCGGGAAAGGCACGCAATTTTAAAGATTCCCATTGTGAGCGTGTAAACGGACGAAAACAGGGAATATATGGTAAGTGGTCGGATTGGGCAATACGGTGTGCCAAATCAACCCTAACCTCAATCCTAACCCTAATTCTGAACTTAGTCGTAGCCCCAACCCAGGCCCTAAGTCCCAACCGCATGACTCTAATGCCAGCCCCAAATCCTGATCCTAGCATTAAATGCCTCCACAATAAGACAAGCATAACATACCTACCTAAACCAGATAAGTAGGTAGATTTCAATAATATAAGTGTGTGATCCAACATCAGATCCTCGCCAAACCGCTTTCCCCTAAGCTGTGTTCTGAGGATTCTGAAGTTCAAGTGGTAAGGACGGCTCCTGGAATCGAATCTCATGCTCAGTACCTTTGTCATACTAAGGCAGAATCAACTTCAACGGGGGTCGCGTTGTGAGGATGGCTGGCGACAGCTTGTCGAAGCGGCTTTCTAAGGCGACATCGCTACGAGTTTTACCAAAAACGTGGATAAAGGTGCCACCCAAGGACATCTTGGCGACTCCACTCCGGTGTGCCGGAAAGCGACTGCGCATTGCGATTTGCCGGAAAGGGTGGAGTGGTCACTTCAAAGCCAACGGAATACAAGATATCAAGGCAGAGACACTAGCATGTAGGACGGGAACCCTGCGGACCGGTGCACCCAATGTTTAGCTGCTTCCAACATGTCTCCATTGTAAGGCATATCCAAGACTCGAATTATCCCTGTAGGAAATAATAACATTCACTGCATCACAGCATAAAAGGCTTAAACAGTGTCAAAGGACATCGCAAGTGTTGATCACATCACATTTGCCTGTATAGGCAGTGCACGTACGATACTTCCAACTATCATTTTCCTTGCATTACCGTCAGCTGTAAGCCCATCCCCTAACCCACTCCATTTACTACGTGTCTGGTCAGAATGTCTGTGCAAAAATGCATTTTGTTATTTGTCAGTACTTCACTTACCTACTCTATCGCACATTTATTACTGGGGAAAAATCGCCAACCATTCCACATCCATATCATCCTCGGCCACCAAAACATGTCACTCATCACCTAAACCAGGAACACAATCTAGTGAAGAAGCTTATAGTCGATTACTCCAAACGATTTCCCGACGACATCGTCGAGCGGGACGTAAACCGCAGTCAAACTGGAGCGGGAGGTGTTAGATTAAGAACAAGTAGATCCACTCCAGAACTACCCTGGCGCGCCAAGTCATGGATAGGAAGGTTGCCAACTGACGGGGCAACTCGTTCATTCATTAGACTGGGAATCAGGCTGCAATGACTTCTTACCGCAGTCCCTGAGGCAATTCCTTCGGTAGTCGTTGCTTTGGTTCGTAAATGGAACGTGACACTTGTGGATGATGAGTAAGGTAGATGCTACGCAAGTATCTCCCTCAATAAGCCAATACACACACGTTACCGCTGATCAGATAGACAATAATGGTCCCCTTAAAAATGATGGATAAGCTACCAGTCTTCGAGGAGTCTGTGGGTCTTTTCCTCTGAATTCAATGCTGTAATAAATCGGGCTGTTGTGACGCAATCCCCCAAGTTTTCAATTAAGTGGGGGAAGCAGTCCTCTTCGAGTTAATTTTCATGAAGAAACGAAACATCCGCTTCGGGGTACAAGCCTTAACAACAAAAGCATGGACGTCTCACAACTGCAGGATCAGGGCTTGGTAACCTGGCTGGTACAAACAACATAATCTCTGCAAAGCTTCCTGTGGAGGTTCAGGTCTCCATAATAACTAGTTGTGAAATTTCACCGAGGAGGTGGGACTTAATATGGTAGTAAACAGGGTCCACTTTTTATAATGAAGCGAACCAGATGGTTGGTGTAAGTCTTTGCTGACGCAACTATGTTTCGGAAATGGCTAAGGGTAAAAATCGGTAGTTAATGGTAGGGGGGGCGCTCACCGGTCGTTCTTACGGAACTCACTCGTTCCGTTGTGCATTACGGGCTCTTTCTCTCGAGTCCAACCAACAGCCGCACAGCAGCGTATGATATAGGCAGAATGTCATTACCGACAAAGGCAAGGGAGACTGGAACGGCCGTTTCCGGCTTATTAGCCGTCGTCAGCCAGTCATACCCAACCCCGAAGTGTGAAACACCTGGAGTTCGAACTCGCGACCTGTTGGCTAGAAGTCCAGCGCCGCTGACGACGGATAATAAGCCAGAAATGGCCATTCCAGTCTCCTTTGTTTTTGTCGGTAATAGCATATCGGTAGTTAAGTTCGCACTACTAAACACAAAGGGTAATGTCTTAAAATCACATGGAAGTGCTCTCATCGACCTAGCCTGACTGCGGGAAGGCGTATTGGCGTTCAAATTTTTCCTAATTTTAGTCTGGGATGCTGGAAAGCAGTAGTGCTGCGACCTGTGTTTCCCTGTCACGGAACAATGTCGACAATGGAGAGGAGAATTAGAATAGCAATTTCTAGATTACTTACGGTCGTCAGCCAGTTGCCCGGGTCCCAAATTGCAAAAACCTGATATCTGAATTCGCACCTGGTTGGTCGTTGAGCTTAACGATCTCCCAATTTATGTTCTGCGGGTTGAGAGCAGCAATAAGCAAAGCAAAACATGGGACTGGTCGCTCGAGTTTCTTTTGTCCTTGTCAATAACGGTCCTCGAGAATGTCTAGCGACTCTTGGTGGCTGAAATCACCTTCTGTGCGAAAAAGCATTTTCCACAAAGACCGAACGCATGAATCCAAGTTCAAAATACAAGACGAATAGGCCACCCACGACACAGAGTCTCTGTCTACGAAAGGGCAGTGGGGCGATGAATCACACAGCGAGTCACTATGTCGGGCACATAGCAAACAATGACTTTTTAAATTTATTAGAATAATAATAGCTTGCTTCCCACGCGTTTCGCAACGAAATTGGAGGCCCTACAACTGCTTCCCTGAGATGTAGTTCGACACCACTTACAAGTCGCGACTATGCCACGACGAAAAACAGTGAAATAGGCCAAATGAGAAACAGGGGCATTTAGTGAGTCGACAGAGATGCGCCGCATTGATGGGCAATGCAAGACGACTGCAGAACTCGGTAGGGCGAACGGAGGGTCAAGGACTACGGCCATTTAGGCAGGAGAATATATCCGGTCCCTATTGCTCGCTTTTGGTGGGTTTTCGCTCGACTCGAGACAGAAAATCAGCGCGAAAACTGTTCTTGTAAAGCGGTCACCGCTGTGAGTTGGGTACTTAAGAGCACTAGTACGATCGTTCACACCGCAACTAAGAGACAATAGTACACTTACGTATTTGGGGAATGACGCAATGCTCTGCAAGCGCCTCGAACGAAAATAGTCTAAATCCTTATGGGCTGGAGGCCATAGGGCCAAAAGTTCTTTATCTCCGAAAAAAACTACCCAGTGTACCGTGATTTCGCAAAAAACAAGTCTGCGACGCCCCGAGGCATGCCTGTCGGTGGTCGATAGTAGGACGACCTTCAGCGAAGACTTGCAATGAAATAAACATGCTTTTTGATCTGCCATGCATGCAGTCGCGTACCGTGTGACGGTAATACCTCCAGCCGTGGCCGGTCGCCGATCCGACATACAGTAGATGTGCTAACTCATGAAATGTCCACCAAAATTTCGAAATTCGTTCTCGTTTCGAGAAGATAAATTAAGTAGTGTTGTAAAACTAATCATGATGCAGCATAAATCTATGATGATCCAATTACCTCAGAGTGTCGGCTTTCCAAAGAACTTATTTTCGGCTGCAAGCAAGATCTATTCTTTGCAAAAAATGACTACTTTAATAGTATGCAATTTTCTCATTGATTTTCGATGCCCTTGAAAATCCAATTATATTTCATGGAAAACATGCATAAAAATATTCATTTTTTTACTTATTTGGTGGCAAATAACGGCTTCTTCCAATTTCGTACTCGAAAGAACAGTATAATTCGGCCTTAAAAAATTTTTCTAATTCCCGAATAATTTTGAACCCGACCTGCTGTTACACTTGCATTCAGGGTTTCAAAACTACAAGCTGTATATTTTCCGTGTACGGAAAACCATGCAGTTCTCTATGTTGTTTAGAGGGGACCATATGAGGTTCATAAAATTAAAAAGTGGATTTGAGCAATATTGTTAACTTTGCAAGCCACATTCGTAAATGCAGAGACGTGGCGTTTTATGAACAGCCTCTTCACGGTATTACAAAATCTCACAATTAGAAACTTTTTTAAGGCCGAATTATACTGTTCTTTTGAGTACGAAATTGGAAGAAGACGTGATTTTCTACCGAATAAGTAAAAGAATGAATATTTTTATGCATGTTTACCGTGAAATATAATTGAATTTTCAAGGGCATCGAAAATCAATGAGCAAATTGCATACTACTTATATAGTCATTTTTTGCAGAGTATAGATCTTGCATGCAGCCCAAAATAAGTGCCTTCGGAAACAGACCTCCTGAGGTAACTGGATCATTATAGATTTATGCTGCATCATGATTAGTTTTACAACACTACTTTATTTATCTTTTCGAAACGAGAACGCATTTCGAAATTTTGGTTGACATTTCATGAGTTAGCACATCTACTGTATGTACGTGGTACCTATGAAAAGGTCGCAAACAAATGAGGCATTACGGCATGGCGAATGTTAGCTGTCATCTAGTAAGGCCTCACTCGTCATTCGACATGATCTAATTTAAAATTGCTTGCGTTTTTAGGAAGGGGTGTGGATGGCGACGTCCGTTTTCAATGCTAGACACTTCGGCAGACCACTTCACGCAACCCCTGTCCGACGAGCCACGGTTTAACCGGGATCTAGAACGACCAGGAGACTGTGGTCCGAGCGTTATGGTTGGGATTTTTGACGGACATCCTGGAGGCGCAGTATCTTGTCTAACAATAGCATACGATGTCACATCTGAGACGCGGGTTCCGAGAGTAACGAGTCCTGACCCAGGTCTTTAAGAACTCCCCACGTGTGACTAGATGAATCAGATAAAAGCATGCAGCGAAGGTCTGCTAGTTATGGGGAAAGAAGAGTAGTTAGTTGGGAGCACGGACTTACTTGAAAGCCTTGTAAAGGGGACGGAACCAACAGATGTAGGACAGGGGAACACAGATTATGGTGATGAGAATGGCGACACCAAAGAGCGTGCCACCATCGGCTATGCCAGGGGTGGCGAAGTAGCAGATGGTGCCGAGCATGTTGACTAGAAGAAGGACTGCGTAGGACATCCAAATATAGTAACCAGTCCGGACCATTCGCCTAAATTCAACTTTAATCTCGCGGTCAATATCCTGGTAGAAGCAGGGCCCACAAGGACAGAATTTCGGCAGTCGCGGCCAATTTTTCGGATTAGCTGAAGAGCAAAAGGAATCAGCTAAGAAAAGACGCAAACATAGGCGGGAACAAATCGTCAAGAAACTAGGTCGCCCCAGTAAAGCACGATATACTACTCGATCAAATAATGGTGTGTGTAAGCACTATGGCTGCGGCTTTCAAACTGGAGCAGTGGTTAAAGGGCTTGGGGGGAATGCATGATGCACAAAGTAGGAATGGAGTAGATGAAAGGTTCCGAAATGTATAGAAGGCTTGAATTCGAATATCGGCAGGGTATTAACCTCAGCAAATTTCGTGATGGCTCTTTAGCTGTCGCCTGTCGCTAAATAATAGAAGCGCAAGCCTTGCATGCTGTACTCACTCACACACTACCGGGGAGTTGATACACACTGGCAAACTCGTTAACTGAACACCGCTACCAGCGTAAATCTTTCCATCTAGGCAATACACCACTCTCTCGGTGCCTTATACGTCTATAGTCAACTCACTCATAAGTCGAAGCACGCACATTGAAGCCGCGCGATGAGCCATCACTCGCGCATTCAGAAAAGGAGCAAATGAGTCAGGGGGAGGAATAAATCTATTCTGATGAACAATCGCCCCAGTGCAATGTCAATCCAAGCTACCATTGAGGAAGATGGTCAATTCTCCAAAATATCACGCGTCTAGTAAGTCCATTTTATTGTCCGCCTGTGCTTGTAGCTGGGGGAGCCTTTAAACTAGCCCTCCCTCTCCCGCTTACCGGATAAGACCCAAAAATAAACATTTTTTCTTCTCTGTAAGAGGCCTACAACAGCGGCTATATGCTGTGGAGTGGATGCTGGTAAATTTGCTACAGAAAGCAAAACGCGAGTGGTAAAGCGACAAGTAGAAACCAGCAGTAAGGTGACGGTCTACTTCAGTCCAAGCGACTGGAAGCCGCGGGCAAAAAACAGGCATTGATTAATGCGGGTCAACATGGACATGGTGATTTAACGAATAAGTGCGTCGATGGTGGGCCTACAAAGACAAACTCGGCCGACATATGTGCGGGGTCTCGAAAACCTGAAACCATGTGCACGTGTGGTTGTGCGGAATTGGTCTCCAGACAAAGTAAGATTCAGATGTCAGACTCAAATGGGGGTGGCCGGACCGGCCGGGTAAAGTATGGCTTTTCGGCGAAATAGAAAAAAAATATAAAATGCCATGACAGGCATAGAGCAACGAGTTTCAAGTCAGCCAGTAGGCCTAGTCCCACATCTAGTCGCTCTGACTTTACCTCACCACTTGGTAACGGAAGGGGCGAGACAGATAATGAAAGTAAGTTTTCTTACAATAGTTCAAGTGGATCACATGTATCAATGTCTTGGTATAAAGAATTGTCAAAAGGGGAAACCAGTCTTCTGACTGAAGCCTGACGGCAATGACGTCAGTTTACCTTGAGTTCTATTTCAAATCCAATGAGTATGACTAGCCCAAAGACAGATGAACGAGTGTGTGCGCGTAAGATGAGGCAGACGGTAAAATGCCATTTTTGTCATCTTGATTTAATTCCGAAACCGGATTATGGTGGAAATGGAAAGAGAGTATTATCGGCGGTGTAGGGGCGCTCACTGATCACGCTACGGAACTCACTCGTCCCCTTGTGCCATGGGGCTCTTTCTCTCTCGAGAAACCGACAGGACAACAAGCCCCTGGCTCGGTGGTCAGGGCATTGGGCGATATGAAATCCAGGAGGCGGTCTACACCATTGCTGTTCTCAGTACGATTCCGTTCTCCGAACAAAGCAGCTGGACGAAGTGGGACAAGGATACACCTTCTATAGAGGTCATTGTATGGAGAAACGATGAGTGGATGAAGTCGCCTTTACCATAAGGAACTACATCATCTTTTCCCGGGAAGGCATCAACGACCGTCCCATCACAATGCGTCTTTGCTTCAAGAGAAGTTCACCATCACCATAAGCGTCTACACGCCGATGTCAAGCGCTGTCTCGCGGGTGATAAGTTTTACGAGAATCTGTACGTCTCCCTTGTGTTTGTGTTTAATGCTGACAAGATTAATATGCACGGAGACCTCGATGTGCGCCTCGATTCGGAGCGCTCTACCTGCGATCATTTGGTCGTCAAAAGATATGAGCTACACCAGCAACAGGTTTCTGGCATTTAAGAAATGCAAGGAAAAAAAGCTACTCATCACTAACATCATTTTCGCCTTCTCCACCGCAAAAGACTATTTAAATGTACCCTTTTCCGCATCACTGGGACCTTCTGGACATAAGTGAAGAAGATTCGTGCACCGGAACACTTTGTTTATTGTCCTGAGCTTTCAGACTCGTACAGGTGTCCATCGTCAGAGGTAGTGGCAGCAACAGAACAAACGGCAGTTATATGGCATGTAGGCCCAATCGACCGACGGCGCAAGAGTGGAGGTGACTACGCAGGGCTCTGTACGCCGGCGCCAGATCGATAAATCGATTGACCGAGTTCCCCTCCCGGGCCCAGGCTTCAATCAATTCTCGGCCTGTTTTGTTTCCGGCGTGGGCGGTGCCCGAATCTTCTTCTTCACTTATGCATACACCTGGAACTCGAAATTTCGCCTGCATTCGTGAACTTCTGGACAGTATGCTCATCTGGAGGCGAATGACCATAACCATGACCAAGACAATGTGTGGTTCTGGATGCTGAATCGATCATCGCCTAGCCATATTAAAGGATGCAGTGCTGAACAACGCCGAGCAAAGGCGGACCCCATCGCCAAGATGAACGTCATCCCAGAGCAATTCCAGACCTTGTAGAGTGAATACAGAGAACAAAATGCGAGAAATTGGACAGAGCTATCAATACGACCATCACGGAGGTACTTGGACCTGCACGCAGACATCAGGATTCATTCGGCATGGAAGACAAAGAAATCCAACGACTGTTATCCAAAGACAACCCATCACAGGGCCTGTAAGGACAACTGCATCGCTCCCAAGAGGGCTTCATTCTTTCGGCGTAACCACCAAGCGCAAACGAGGCTGCGAGAAATGCAGAGCCAAGTGAGAGATACGTTGGCCATGCTGAAATGGAGAACTTCGTGGACAACGGAGTGGTTTTGAGACGCCAACCCGACGCAACTGTGCCGCTGTTCAGTTCGTACGGAGATTCCCTGCTAGCAGGAGAGAAGTGGATCCTAAAACGGTGAGACTAACGCTCTGAGAGTGTCCTCAATCGTCTATCTTCATTCTGCGAAGAAACCTCAATAGACTTTCTCAGGTGGAAACCAATGCTGAGCTCCACCGCCTACCTCCCCTCCCCCCCCCGCAGAAAATAGTCAAGACAGTGCAGCCAATGCCCAGAGACAAAGTTCACGGTATGATTCCAACCCAACAGAAGTGTATAGATATCATGGTCCGCAAATTCTGGCCAAAGTAACCATGCTGATTAGGAGATGAAAGACTGGTATAAAGCACGGATGACTTCAAAGTTATCACAGGTCTACGCCTCTGCGAGTGAAAAGAAAGCTGACTAGGAGTGGCAATCAATGTAGGGACTTTTTTCTCTATGTTGCAGGCAAAATGTGTGTCCGTACGCTCTGCAATGGCCTGATTGAACACCTGAATGAAAAACTTTTATCGGAGACTCAACATGGATTCTGGAAAACACTGTGAAGCTACCGACGTAATTTTTGCCGCGCGACTACCTCAGTATTGCTAGAAAAATGATAATTAGCCTCTGTACAGTCGTCTCAAATCTCCCAAGACCTTCGATGCTGTGACCGTAAAAGAACTCTGGGAAATCGCGATGAAGACTCAACTTCCTGGAAGCCTTAGGCTGCTGGTCAGGCAATTATACAACGGCATGGTGACACGCGCCAAGAAAATGGATCAATTTTTGAGCAATTTACCGTCACGAATAGGGCAAAACAGGATTGCGCACTTGTGTCGGCATTTTGTGATCTCAAGCCCTCCGAGGTGCCAGTTGGCGTCTATCAAGAGGAGTGACTCGAAATCGATATAAACTATCGATCTGACGGAAAGTCATTAAACAGCCGCCTTATGTACAACGTACTGATAGTCTCCTGTGTCAGGAGAGACGAATTTCTCTTCGAAGAAGACCATGGACTAAACCTCACAAATGAAACGAACATGCAGCGAGACCTAGACTCCTTGGCCTCTGGATGCGCCAATTTTCAAGTAAAAGCAAACATATATAAAACAGCTCTTATACACCGACAGGCACACATCGATAAATCTAAGGAAAATTCAACCATCGTCAACAACAATCACCCACAACAAGCGCCCCGGGACGATAGGGCCAACCTGCTAGCTTAAATTCGAGCAACTCAGCGCGTCCATAGACGGTCGATAATGTAACGGCTTTCAGCAAGAGTTTGCTGCGGAATAAACAGGCTCTGGGTTCTGATGAGTAGGCATTGACGTACCAGACACGGTAATACCTTCAGTTATGCCTGGCCTCCAATCCGACGTGTTAGTTACCTATAAATGGTCATTAACTATAGTCGCATTACGGGCTGGTGGATGATATCTGTCAAACAGTAAAGGGCTCACCCACCGTCAAACATAATTTTGGAATTTAAAACTAACGTGATCGCGGAGTTTGGGAGGCAAAGTTAATCTTCAAATTAAGATGCTATGGGAAGGCGTCCTTTCAGCAAACCACTCCACAAAACCCCTGTCCGGTGGGCCACAGATGGACTGAGATTGTGGACGACCGGAACGTTAAGGTTAGGACGCCCATTTGGCATTCTTAAGGGGTAATCCTTTTAGAACAACCACCGTCCAAAATAAACAGCGAAAGGGGACAGCGACAGGGGAAATACCACCTAAAGTGGTTCAGAGAACAGTTCACCAAGGCAAAGTTAGATGGAATCAATGGTAGGCGGCGGTCACCGATCGTTCTTACGGAACTCACTCGTTCCGTTGGAGTCGATCGCAAAATTAAAAGGTTAAAGTATTCCGAACAGTGCGTGTACTGAAAGCTAAAACGCACAGAAACTGTTGATGCCTGGCTATCTGGTTAGACCTTTGAACCCCGCACCACGTAAACTGAGGCCTAAGGAAGATAAGCCTGTGGGTAATTCATAGCGTGTCATTTGAAAAGTTCTGAGTACTACATTGAGGGTAAGATGCCCACGAAATTGAAGGGTACGGGTGAAGCAGACAACGAGGGCACACGTTTCCAGTACAATTAGGTTTTTCCGTTCGTGTGACAGGCTTGCAGTCAGACAGTTGTGACCAATTGCATGGTAGACGGGGGAGGGGGTCCTGTAAGAAACAAAAATCGTCCCAACTTGAACTTCCGCACATACCGGAACGGATTGACTGCTCTTCCATGCGTCGATACTCCTCTTCACGACGCGACAGTTCGGCAGCCCGTTCTTCCAGCTCCTTCTGTCGGCGCTGCAACTCCTCCGTCGTGATACGCTGCGCCGAGACGGCTGAGTATGGTGGTGGTACGGCAGCAGTAGTAGTGGTGGTGGTGGCAGCACTGGAGGAATGGTCCGTACCAAACGGATTGTACCCATCTAGTCCCTGGGCGTGGATACGCGAAGGGTCATCGCCAACCGCGGTTGTGGGAGTGTTAATTGCTGACATTGCCTAGAGACAGAAGAATGCGTGGAAATAAGTAAGCTAGAGGAATATTTCCTAGTCCAAAAGGCATTCACTTACGATCACATGGCAAACACTCCTCATGAATAGGAGTGGTGACGGTGCCAAGCAGCATTAAGGACACCCATAATATAAAAGCAGGTATTGAGCACCCAACAACCCTGTGTGGATAACATACCAGAAAAGCTGCGTCATTCGCTACATCAAATATCTTCTTCGCCAGTGGAGTTGAACAACTCTAGAACGTAGGCTCTGGACCACAGGCCCCGAAATAGAAAACTAGAACAAATCAATGCTTGAAATACTAATCTGCACGTTAAGGGACGATGCGAAGTTCGAATCATGGCTGCTTTGTGAACGTCTGCACTGCAAACGTCACATGGGCAGACCATAGTGCTCTGCCGAAACGCTTCATCCCAATCGCCGCTTTCCCTTATGCACTCTCAAACGCCGGCCTTAGAAAATCTCGTCGTACATGACGGCAAACAATCGGAGAGTTTGCACCCGGACACCGACTGACTGATCTCGACTATGCCGATGATATCGCCTTACTCACTTCAAGTTTTGGTGATTTGCATTCTATGTTGTCAGGGATGAACGAGGTCGCCAAGTCGGTCGGTTTATCCATAAACTCTGGGAAGACTATAGTGTTTTTAAGCTGCATCCCTGACCAGGGGAGGGCACCTCTCGAGATTCGTGGCCGCCAACTTTAAGAAGTAGACAGTTTTAAATACCTCGGGTTGAGGTTGCTGCCGAATTGACTGAGTAGGAACAACATTATCTCCCAAATTGATGTTGTCTGCCGGGTTTTCTCAAGCCTTCGAAAATGCCTCCAAATCCGACGCAATCTTTCCATCGCCACTAAGACTCGCGTGTACCGTGCATATGTCCGGTCTGTCCTTCTCTACGGCCGTGAATGCTGGGCTATGCACGTGGAGGACGAGCGAAAACTGGCGATATTTGACCAGCACTGCTTGAGGACCATCCTTAGCGTGAAGTTCACCGACTTCGTCTCAAATGAGACAGTCCGCACTCGCTGCGACAATGGCGCAAGGATAACCCAGGCCACCCAAGAAGGGCGACTGGGGTGGTTTGGGCATGTTCTTCGTCGTCCACCTCAGGAGCTCAGTGGTAATACCCTCGATCCGTCACCGTCGAAGAGGGGATCAGCTCAAAACCTGGCTCGACACAGTTCGTCAAGACATGGAGATGGTTCTAGGGCCTTCTGTATTCGGTCTCCGTGGTTGGCGAAGACAATGGGTTAAGCTGTCCAGATCTGCTGCCGCGGATAGTCACGCGTGGGGAGGTACAGTTCGTGACATCATCGAGGCGGGCTAGAGCCGGCATGATCGCAGCCGTATTCAGTACAAGTAAGCACCGATCAGTTGTAGAAGTATCCACTCGGAAACTTGTACCAATATGCAGGTAAACTGCTCCCGAACATCAACTCTCCCTGGAATTGAGTCCCTAGTGTGCATGTGGATGGACTACACAGCAGTCTTCTTAGTCGACCCAGGTAACTCTAATAGGAAGGATTAGGAGTCCAAGACTCCATGACGTCCAATATCAAGTTGACAGCCATCAATCCCGAGGGTTGCCTTCTGGTCAGGGGTGCAGCTTGAAAACACTGGTCTTCGCAGCGTTTATGGATAAACCGACCGATTTAGCGACCCCGTTCACCCGTGACACCATAGACTGCAGTTCACCAAAACTTGAAGCAAGTAAGGCGATATCATCGGCATAGTCGAGATCAGTCAGTCGGTGTCCGGGTGCAAACTCAACACTGTTACCTTCGTGTAAGCTCCTCCCGAGAATCCAGTCAATAGCGAAGTTTAACAGAATGCGCGACATGATACAACCCTGTCGAACGCCAGACCCAATGCCGAACGGTTGGGTAAGATTGTTGCGGACCAGGACTCTCGCAATAGTGAAACAATAATAGACCTTGATCATGACGATGATTTTTGACGGTACACCATCTAGCGCCATTATCCGCCACAGGGACTCATGATGGACAAAATCGAACGCGGCGATAAAGTCAATGAAGCAGACGGCCGTCGGTTAGGGGTAGCTAGGGCGAAATTCGAGAATGCGCCTCGGTATTAATATTTGGTCTGCGCATCCACGTCCGGCACGAAATCCCGCTTGGTCGGGCCTCGTCCTTGAGTCGCGCAGATTTGAATCGCCTCAGTAGGACAATAGCAAAGATCTTCGCAGCAACGTCGATGAGACTTATGCCGCGGTAGTTCTCGCTTCTCGTCTTAACTCCCTTCTTGAGGATAGGTGCAAGGATTGCTAAGCCCCAGTCATCAGGAACAACCTCGTCTCTTCACGCCCGTCCAGTCACCTCATGTATCCAGGGCGCCAGAGTTTCGACACAAGAGTTGAAGATTTCAGCGGGTATACCGTTCTCTCCGGGTGCCTTATCATTGCGTAGCTTTCGTATAGCATCGAAGACTTCTCCTTCAGAGGGGGGAGGTCGCATGACACTGTATAGGTGGGAGAGGGAAGAAACTCCGCTGAAGAGGAGAGCAAGGGCGAAGTAGGTTGGTTATCGAATTTTAGACGGTGCTTGAATTGCTGACGCCAGCGCTCGACTTTGGCCGAGTTGTCAGCAATAATGCCGCCATTAACGTCGCGAACAGAGTCACTCAGTGTAGTGGGATTACCGCTAACTTTGGGGATAAGTTAGTAGAGTTTTCGAGTGTCACCAACGTTTGAGGCCTGTTCCATGGAGACCGCTATTTTAGCCCAATATTGCTTCCGGTCATCCCTGGCCTATTTTGCCGTCATCTTTGGAAGCTGGTGGAAGCAGTCATCGTTACGGGACCTGGCTCGAGCCGTTTGAGCAGACAACTGCAGGGTTCTTCCGCCGATCCATTCACTGCGGCGTCGCAGGGTGTATCTAAGGATTTTCTCAGCTGCCTCATAGACTGACGTTTTTAGTGACGACCACTGGTCACTGCCTTCTCCGTCGGCTCAGGTCGTAAAGCAGGTCCGGATCTCTCTGCTCAGGGCCTCAACGGTGCTGATTTGCCAGATTTTTGCGACATCGGGGTGTCTAGGACGCGGCATTTTTGACGCGGATGAGAGATGAACTTTCAAGCGTGTACGAACGACGACATGGTCCGACCTATGGGCTTTACCAGTCGGGGCACCACGCATCGATCTGCTATCGTAAACCCAGCTGCGGAACCTTGAGCTGATTAGTATGTAATTAATCTGACTGGCCGCATGGCCGTCGTTTGAATACCATGTCAGCAGATTTTTTTCGATGCTGGAAACATGTGACAAGCAGTCGGTTTCGATCAGCGAAGTTCAGCAATCTCTCATCACTTTCACATCGGGAACTAAGCCCAAAGTGGTCAAGAAGATGACTGGTTGTGGGATGACCCGGTCCAGTTCGACCATTCAAACCGCCAGCAACAATCAGCAGATCGCGGCGAGGCAATCTTTCAATTAATCGGTGCATCATACTCGGTGATAGAGAAGAACAGACTGCTGGACTGGGCAGGACGTGTTTTCATAGTATATAGCGAATTCACAAACACTGCTGATTACTTCCTGTATCTTACAGAGCCATCAACCTTAGAGGTGTACCTATCTCACATTTCAAGTACCATCGACTGTGCATACCTACCGGTAACCTCGAAGTACGTCTGCTTTCCTCAAGATAATTTGTACGTTTTAATGAAAAAACTGGACTATTAACAAGCATCCCTTGTCAAGGGATGAAATGGACATGGCTGTAGGAGAAGTCGCTAACACTAATTTTTCCCTTTGTTGTTGTAGACATCTATGGCTAATAATTCCAGTAACGAAGAAACTGGTCGGCGGAAATCAACTGGACAACGCCGTAATTCCGTTTGATAAAAATGGGAACTTGGCGATCCGCCGATGTCATCTGCAGTGTGTCTCAGTCACTTACGAAACTTACTGCTTAGAATGAGGGAGACTCAGATCAGGAGTCAATGGGCACGCTGCCAGCACGCAGGCCAGCGAGTTACAAAAGTAATGTCGCATGGCACTCATTTCCTTTGTGGGTTGGCATGACCCGTCCTGCCGCTCAGTGATGAGTGAAATGCAGGCGCAAATATGGGGGCAAGGGAAAGGCATCGAACTCATGCACGAGCAACTTGTGTATGTATGAGAACCTGCACATAATGCAGGTACCTGATAACCGCCGAGGGTCCGCCCCAGGAAGCTGAGAGGCCGCCTTCCCTTCCGACCCTCTAAGGCAGCTCATCTGCACTAGGTTCGACTTCCTGGAGGTCAACAGTAGACTGCATGACCCGCAGGTTGAAGTCAAGTGGTAAGGCTTGAGGGATTTAAGGACATATTCACAGAGGAACTTCCTGGTGTGCTTCGGTGGACTCAACGCAGACGATTTTGTGAAAAGTGTATTCTATGCCCTCTTCGACGACGAAGCAAATATACATATTAACTTTAAAGGAGAAAATTGAATAAGGTCTGTGTGATTCACAGGTTTACGACGTCATCAAAGGTAGGCCCTTGATTATATGCAACTGTTCATGCTAAACGGACGTTTACGCTGTATAGAACAGAGGGGGGAGAGTCGGTGTGTATGAACTCGAGGCCGCTTTTCCATGGCGGTTGAAGAGATCCCTTGATGCCCTACGCAAGCGACGTTTTCAGGTGGATTCTAAATTGGAGGACTCTAGTGGTTAGTCTAACCATCCTCTTAATACGCCTACTTGGCTTAAAACCGAAAGCAGGACCGTCATCGTCAATGCCGCAGGCGATACGACGATAATTTGTTGAAATTTGTACTTTTTTGATTAAATATTCTCTTTGATACATGGAAAACGCCTTCATAAGACTTTTGGGAGGCCTACGTAGTACTTACAGTAAAAGGTTGAACAGAAAGTGTGGGGAAGAGCGTCCGTGGGTGCTAAAAGGCATACGTCGCAAAGGCGGGGCGTCCGCAGCTATATGCGGCCATATCGCGATTTTTGCCGCTGTTCCCATAGCGACCAAATGGATAAAATCCGCTATCAATCGGTCATACCTATCGCGACTTATACGCAGCGTGGCGCTGTCGCCTTCCTATGGAATTACTACTAGGATTGCTCCCTTTATAACTTTCCAATGGAACCTGTAGAGCATAAATTTGGTTTCCATAACAGCGCCCATGGTGGCGGCGATGTATCACTACATTCCGGGGTCTTCGGTCCCCTAGACGGTTGTCAGGATTTGATTGGAACTAAGGTTCAACTTTGAGCCGTATAAATATGTTCGAAACAACTTCACAATAGGATTTTATGAGTGATTACTGCCCAAGAGCGCATATATTATATCGGATTTCGTATTTCGGAGACTGTTATGGGGGATTCTTAACACAGGCTTGCATTAATTGCATTTCCGAAACTTTAACTAAAACCCGGGTACCACGGTCATTAAACTAGATTTTCAGCTGCCCAATGGAATCACAAATCAATAACTTCCTGGAAGGGTCCTTAAGAAAACTTACAGGATCGGAAAATGGATTTTCCATCAACCTGTGGTAGCCCTCCATCTTCGGGACAGAAAAGTCTGCTTTTGTGGGCTTTCGAGAAGGATTCACTTGTGTTTTACTCAACCTACGTTCCTAGATTTGAGATATGACACACTTTATTCGGGGAAGTAGGCAGTTTTGTGATTTTCGAAGGAAACTTGGGTGCTTCGAACCCTACAAAATAATTACTTTATCTGTATAGCGACCTATATATAAGAAAGATATGCTATCACTGAAACACGAAGTTCATTGGACCGACGTTTCTGGTTCTCACTCATACCCATTATCAGAGACGGTTGCAGCGACCGTCTTGGGTGATGAGTTCGAGTGAGGATCAGGCTAGCAAACATCTTGTTGCAGTGGTCGCATCTTCTTTTTCTGAACATCTTCCTAGTACTTGCCTGTTTGTTTCTATCGGCAATGGCGTGTATCCCTGTTGATATCTTTGAAAGTTGTTCAACCGTGTTTTAATTCACTGCCATCTTTTCTGTTTTCATATATTATGCTTATACGGTGCCTATAACTTTACTGATATGTATTTTCCATATTTTGACCAGTTGCAGATTATGCTGGACAGGATCGTCCATTCCGAAATAAGTCGAACCCTTAGCGCATTCGATTCAACGTCAGTTAGTGTACTATAATTCGCCTAGACAACCCAGCCCTGCCCACGGGCTGAAAAAACTACTTTCTTAGTGGTACGACTTTACGAGGCATCGAAGCCCAAAAGAACCTCTGTGTGCTGACGACAAACTCTCGAAAATCGTCAACTTGTTGTTCGAGAGTGGCAAAAGACGTAATGTCCGTACTGTACGCCATAAAGAGAACATTCCTGGATTTTGACGAGGATGTCTTCTCTAAGATTTTCGGAACATCTGTGCATCTGCACTTGGAAATCGGCATTTAATCCTGGAGACCACGGGCAGCCCATGGTCAAAATAGTCGTGAAAGTGTCAGGTGATGAGTCACAAAAATGGTTAGGGGTCAAAGCTCCTATCCCTGTGCATTTCACCCAACAACTTTGCACCTCCTTCGTTTAAGTTAAAAGCAAAAACGCAGGAATATCTTGCAAGCAATCGGCATAGTTATGGGGTTGGCCGACAGCCTGCCCTTGAGGACTTCTTCGAATTCGCTACCACGGCCAACCTTCGCAATCACCCGTTAAAACTGCGCACTCTGCGGGCAAGGCTGAATTTGTGGACGTTTTCCTTCACTCTCAGAGTGGTCAAATTATGGACTGGTCTCCCTGCATATGTGATTTCAGCGGCGATATAAAGCTTTAAAATGAACATTGGCATATTATACTTCGAGAAAACACGAACGATAACAGAACGAGTTTAACCCCGGAAACTCACGCTCAGATTGTGACACTATTACGGCCCACATGCTTTCTCTGTTCACCGCACCCAATGTTACGTTGCAAACAAGATGCTTAATAGCTCACGCTTATTTCTTTCGACAAACTGAACTGAACTGGACTGAGGTTTCCAATCTACCACTTCGAGGAATTCCCTTCACTTAGTGCCGCGTACCACTAGACTCTCTTACGGCCTACCGGTGGAAAGAATTGCATTTTAACGATTAATATCCTCATTCTTTCAGATTCATAACGGGACATTAGAAAAATAACTGTTCTACTTCTGGCCCCATATCTTAATCTAGAAACGGTCGAATCGTTCCGCTACTTATTTCTACGTTCCATGATTCCTGAATAATAGTGAAGGTGGAACATACACGCGTCCGAAGTAGTTATCTATCATCGGCACTTGCCTGGCGCGACCAACAGAGTGGCCGCTAGACCTCCAGTGTGGTCGGAAATGCGCACTCGCGGCTTCATAAACAGTATTATCTTCTGACAAAGTAGACAGTATGTCCTCGTAGCTTTGCGTATCCGAGAACCAGTTACCTATGCATGTAAACTACTACCAAAAGGTGTCTTTCAGAACGAAGCAGCGTCCTAGATCATCCCCAAAAGACACAGTAGACCAGAGTGTCAGTAAGAATGAGTAACGTCCAAATACAATGCAGGTAAATGCTACACTGCCGATGGAGGCATAAGGTGATCAAGAAGCCTTGGTAAGCGCGGAACTTAGCGGTGACTATGCCATGACAATTATTTCTGATTCAAGAGATGATGCTAACAGGAGGTGGCACAATGCAGTCTCCGTGTATAAAAACAAGGGACAAGGCTCTCTACTAGGTCGCAGCAGACGCATCGTCATGAAAGGTATGTATGATTTTGCTTCGTAGACTGTAAATGACAGAATACACAACGAGAAGTAATTATTCTACCAACGCCTCGAATCCACAATAAATGAGGCCGAAAACGTCGGCATCTTAAAAAATTCCCGGAGAGTTTAAAAATATGTTAGATATTCACCAGATAAGTTCAGAGGGCTAAGGATTGTTCTCCATAATGAGCAACAAGTTCTGTTAATGCTGACCAACGAATCAACTTTCCTGAATGCCCACCGAACAGTTTTCAACGGAATTTCTTGCCAACGAAGAAGGATGAATGGATACGTATGCAGAAGGATAGGTCTCAGACGAAAAAAACTAAGAATAATGAACGGAACAATCGCAAATAATCAATGAACATTCACCTGGAGACAGTTAATAAGAATACGTATGCTGGACAGCTAGAAAATATAAAAGATCGATTTTATCATTTGTGTACTGCGGTGAAAATGACAGTCAACACGTCAACCTCCAGTTGTAGCCAGCGGTAATTCATTTGAACTCGAAAACTGTACTGGATAAGCCGCATCAGATATCGGGACATCTGGGTCTGAAAGTTTTTCGAAAACCAATCCAAACAAAATACCACCTTATGATACCGATGCGCAGAATTTGCTTTTGAAAATAAATGAACTAAAATTATAGATATGAGACGTGAAGTAATGTGTCGTGTCGATCAGAGGGATTGGTTAAAGGCTGGTGTATTGGATTTAAAAACTGTTCTCGGTGAATGCCAACTCTTTTGTCGAAGTCAGTTGCATAAAATTGGGAAGGACTAGTCGAGAGAGACATCACCGCACCAGAACGCCGAATTGTTTGCCCACTTGGCTGAGAAGCAGTGTGCTCAAACATAAGGAGAAATGGAGCACAAGATTTGAAGTTCTTGACCGTATGTGGGCTGGCCAATCAAACTCCGTATGTTTATGGGGCGATGTTTGGATTAATCAAAAAGCTGTCCCAAAACAAAGACGCATATGTCGAAGAAAATTTTACCACACAAATGAGCGTCTGAAACAAGTAATCAGTGAGTGGTTCGCGTCATTACTGTGATTCCAGAGTATTACAGCTGAAAGAGTGTCCCGCTATCATACGCAGTGTCAAGTTTCCAACCAGAATAAAATCAAACTGGGAAAGCAGTCTGAATATCGTCTTTTCAAAAGTTAACAGGCAAATAAATATACCGTTTTATTTAGTTCTTAGAACGGTACTAACATTTTACATAAAAATGGTCTTCGACTGAATTTTAGAACAAGTAGGCAGGCATTGTACACTGTTCGGCTCGTGCTTATAAATTAGACAGTATGATATGAAACATTGTGAATAATGCTCCTTCGTTTTATCAAAAAGACAAAAATGAATGTGAGCCGATTAGTTGTTAAGGAGGAGAA